TGTTTCCATCCTCAGGGATCCTGTCTTTTTTTCAATTTTTTAGCGACTTCTGGCTAAGATGGAGGTCGCGTAAGCCCTCGTTTTCAACTCTTCAACATTGATGGGACCGAGGCAAGGAACATCTCAAACGTCTTGCGGTCCGCCATTGTAGTGGTGCCCATAATGAACGTTCTCTGTCGCGCTCTGTCCTTTCTACCCTTGCTTATCATCTGAAAGGCAGAATCGAATATTTTGGACCTAGTCCTTATTACTACCTAACCTGATTCTATAACTGACCTATCCATTGGAGAGCTTTTTTCAGACCACAATTCTATCAATTTCTCACTCTCCAGTTCAACGGAAACTGTTCTATTGATACGGTAAAGCTGATTGGGACCATCTGAGATCCTTATTATCCTGCATTCCCTAGGACTGCGTTTTCCTCGATGATAACATTAATCAAAACTAGGCTTGTTGGAGGGACCTACTATTCACTGCAGTAGACGAATGCAATGCTCCCTGGATCACCAAGGAACTTATTGCCTTGTGCAAAAAGAAAAGATCTTGCTACAAACATGCTCGCAGAAGTAACAAAGCGGCCATTTGGGAAAAATACCGACGACTGAACAATTCTGTAAAGAGTCTCTGCAACACAGCTCAATGGGCATACATTAACCAACTAGCCTCCGATCTGAAAGAAAATGAAAACCCAAAACCCTCCAGGAATTTTATTAAGTCCAAGAGAAGAGGAACTAACAATCTTGTTTCATTAAAAATCGACAATGCTGTTGTGACAGACGCCCTCTGTATTGCCCAGTGCATGGACTCCTACTTCTCCTCTGTGTTTACCGTCGAAGATTATGGTAATTTTCCTACCCCGGATTACGTTGTTGTCAAGAAACTCGAAAATATCAATTGTAGTGTTAATGAAGTAAGACGCCTCCTTTTGAAACTCAAGCCTAACAAGTCCCCTGGGCGTGACAATATCGCCCCTTGCGTTTTGAGAGAATGTGCATCAGAACTGGCCCCTTCACTGGCGCATATATTAAACAAATCATTCTCCACTGGTTTATTACCTAATGAATGGAAATGCACTGATATCACACCATTACACAAGAAGGGCTCTAAATCTCTCAGACAAAATTACGGCGCAATCTCTCTTACTTCTATTGTTTGTAAAATTGGCGAAAAAAATGTTTTTGATAGGTTGCATAAGTTTTGGCAAGAAACTGGTCTGATAAATAACAACCAATTCGGCTTTCTGAAAGGAAGACCCACCGTAACACAACTGTTGTCATCGTTAAGTGACTGGGCTAAATCACGTAATTTGTCTTGCCCAACTGACGTAGTTTTCCTTGACCTGGCCAAGGCATTCGACAGTGTTCCTCACAAGCGGCTCCTGCTGAAGTTGAAAAGCAATGGTATTGACGGCCTCTTACATGCTTGGCTCAGGTACTTCCTGACAGGACGCAGGCACCGCGTGATTCTGAGGGGAACTAGGTCTAATTGGTCAAGTGTTACCTCTGGTACCCCACAAGGGACCATTCTCGGCCCACTGTTATTTTTGACCTATATCAACGATATAACCAATTGTGTTTCGTCAACTGTGAAACCTTATGCTGACGATACAAAGATCTATCGTCAAATAGTCGACCCTATTAAGGATCCTCAACTTTTACAAATAGATCTTTCCAACCTAATGGAATGGGCATGCAAGTGGCAGTTACGGTTTAATGCGGACAAGCATATGTACATAACTCATACACGCGATAAGTCTGTTACGCAATATATGTTAGATAAGCCTTTGAAAGACGTAAAGAGCTTCAAAGACGTAAAGAGCTTTTAACGAAGGATCTCTCATGCTCTTTGCTTTGTGGTCATTGATTTTATATCTTCCTTTCTTTGCATGAACTCTTCTATACAATTACATGCAATCTAATACGTTATAGTAGCCTGATCATTTCAGGACGTTTTTATACGGAAGCTCCATCTCGCACAGTTTATATTCGTTTAGTTTGAAGTTGTTTTTCTGAGTTGTAAAATGTGTATGCTAAAGACCTATCATTAATTCTAGCTTAGGAACATCTAGAATGAACTGCGTACCGGTACAGCCATGAAACAAAGCTTACAAAAACAAATAAACAAACAATCATAAAATTTCAACTATTACACGATCGAATCTCCTTTCATCAACTTTCCTCTTCTTCTCCTTCTTTTTTTTTTTTAACTTTATGAAAGTTTTTAATTACTATTGACAGTAGTTTTGTTTTTTTTGTTTTTTGTCGGCAGTGTACTATATTAAGGTTGCCACCTCAAATGTGTCGAATGCTGGGACCGACGCAGACGTTTATATCATAATACATGGTGAAGCAGGCGTCTCGGCACCAACACTTTTGGACAATCTTTCTCGAGATGACTTTGAACGAGGAGCGTAAGTATAATATCTTATCCTTCTCTACAACAATACTTCCAAAGTAGAAGGTTTTATATCTACGAATTCTTCTTATCCTACGAAAATCGAATAAACAGTTTCGCTTTTTACAAAGTATTCCAAGTTCATAAAATCCTTAATCTTCAATATATATATATATATATATAAACAAATCCAGGTAATTCACCGTTGGATCCAGAACAGTGCTCAACAATTATGGAGCGGTTTAACAGTAAATAGACTACTCAATATGAGCACATATGGATTTTTAATACAGGTCTGTTTCGTAGACCAACAAAAAGTTGATCCACTCATCAGTTAAACTCCATACACACTGAAGCATCACAACGCTTAACGGGAACAACTGAGACGTACGTCGGCCTTACAGCAACAGATTTCAAAACAAGATGGCGCAACCACCAAATGTCTTTTAAGCATGAGAAATGGCGGAACGACACCGAGCTGAGAAAACATTTGTGGAAACTAAAGGAAAAGAAGGAAGGCTATTCAATTTCGTGGAAGATCATCGCAAAGGCCAAGTCATACTCTAATACCACTTAACGCTGTAACCTATGTATCACTGAGAAGTTTTTCATATTATCTAATCCACAGATGGCCACTCTGAACAAACGAAACGAACTCATATCAAATTGTAGACATCGAAGAAAATATATTCTCAAGTATTCCTGAAATTTT